TATTTTTACTTTGCTTCTGCACAAGAGTGAATGTGAATAGAGCTGTATATGCCTAGAAATGTGACATAAAATACACAATCTTTTGGAAAAGAAAAGTTGAAAAAGACAGTGTGAATTGGTTTCTAGGGATCAGTGTGGAAGAAGCCTTTCAATAAATCCCTGTCCCCCATCTGTATAAACAAATAAAAAAACAAAACAAAACGATTGTTTTATATTTGCTTTGACCCCCAAGGCACTCACATATGACTGGCATGGTATTTTATGCCAAGAGATCTGAGGTGTGTTTCTAGTCAATACTGAGGCGTTCTGGAAACTTGGTGAGTGACATGGCTTGAAGGGAGAGATTTTTTACAACGTGCTCAAGGAACTTTAGGAGTGTTTATGCATGTGCATTGTATTGCATTGCGGTGTAATGTATACTGTTATGTGTTTTTATACATGATGTTTACTTGCTGTGTCTAAGGTGAGACCAGGGACAAATATCTGCCAAGTTATGCAACCTACTGAAATGATAAATAATTTAAAAAAAATTAAATAAAGTTGCAAAGTTGAGGTAAAATCTTTGTCCCTGCACAATCACAGATTCAATCACTGACAAATGACTAGACTATCTTTCTTTTTTCTTTTTTCTCTTCTTTTACAGCAATAGATAGTGCTACTATGACTCGTAACATTTTAAATCTGCCAATATTGTCTCCTTTCATTTCCCATAAGAGTGATAGCACATTTGCAGTTAGAGCCCCTAATCTTCGGAACAGTTTGCATATCTTACAGCCAATCTTCAAACCAAATCAGTTTTCACATTTAATCCCTATTAAATACCTCCCTTTGGGTGCACAGGTGGCACAGGGGTAAAGTCCCCAGTTCCATGGAGGCCCAGGTTACAATTTCTGCTACATTCAGCTTGGTGGTGTGTTTTAACAATAACAATTATGTGTGTTGGGTGGGAAGGGAGCTGGTGCTGCTTCAAGTCCTTATAACTGCAGAGCCTCCTTGTATTTGTTGGTCATGATACTGCATAACATTCCTTTATAAACATGCCATTACCCTTCTGTTTCTGTTTTCAAATTTTTTATTTGTTTATCGAATCTTTTCCGATGTTCCTTTATTGTATGATTTATTGTTTGTACCACAAACACCAACGTCTGGAGAAAATTCATGCAAATAAACAAGCTTTGCAAACAGCATTATTTAGTGTGTGTTTCCATAATTTTAACAAATAACAAATTATGGAGGATGTTACCTGGTTAGCCTTGGGCATTTTGATTCAGCTATAGGTGTTTACACACACAAGAAGGTGAGGCGAGGCATCATCATAGTCATGATATTGGGTACTCAGCTGTTTATGCCTTTGAAGATTATTTCAGATTATCCTCACCAACGTGAGAAAAGTGATGAGTTGCAACTTTTTTTTAAAGCGTCTAGGATTGTGTAGCATTATATGCAAAATAATATCAGGCACACACACGGTGTTTGTTTTTAACATCACAATGTTAACTTGACTAATGGGAAAGCCCATTAAGTGGAGCTGACAGTGTGAATGCAAAATACATCAAGTATGAATTATGTTATTAACAATTACAATCGAACACTGTCTCCATAATCAAACAACATCCCACTCCGCCACACAGAAGCATTCACATCACTATTCAGTGATATCATGGAACATGGTTTGATGGTATAGAAAGATATTTGATATTTTTTTACTCAGGATTTAGCCTCAGCAATGCAAGAAGTCTGCAGCCAACCTGCCACCACATGCTACAATATATATTACACTGCATGTGTTACAATAGCAGCCAAAAAAACTCAATTCAGTCCACGTTCACACTGGGCAATGAGTTTCCCTATGATTATATGATCCGACCAAAGAAAATGAGCTAAATTTCTCTAGGAAATAGTCTGAAGATGCTGAAACACTTCAGGTAAAATGTGCATAGCAGACTGAGTAAATGGATGCTTTAACCTCCTGTTACCATAAAACTGAATGACTGAAGCTTCTTTTTGCCAGTTTTGTCAGTGTTAAGACAGCAAAACTTAATGCTGCTGAGCAAAAGACATATTTTTCATGTCTTTCTCCTCTGGACCAGTGATGAATGACTGCTGTAATGGATCGGAATAAATAATGGGACCAGCTGAGGAAGTGTTTGCATCTATGGCTTTTTTGTGGATTGACCGATTGATCAACTGATTGATCATAAAATGTTTCTGGGTTACCTGGTGAATGTTGGTAATAATTAACATAACATTTACTAATAATTGTATCAATCTTTCTTCAGAGGAAGCAAGGAGTGGGCCGACAGGGTTGTATGATGCATTGTTTTCCTCGCTGTAATGTTTTCATGTAGATTATCTCTGCAGTTCAGCACATTTTGTGCTTTTCTCTGGTGTTGTTTCAAATATAGTGAAAATAGAAGAGAAATGAGGGGTACAAAAGCTTTGCATTTCAGAGAAATGTGCACTTTCTCCACATAAAGGAGCAACCTCCTGCTAATATTTGTATTTAATTGGGTGTCAGTTCATTCTAAGTGTTTCTCCAGTAGATTCTGGGGCTCCTGGACTTTAATTTCACAAACAGTCACGTCACAACTTGTCTAGACCTGCCAGTGGAAAATAATAACATATCTATTAAAAATTACACAGAAAAGTATTTGATATGGAAATGTAATAGTTTCAGCAGGAGATCAACTGGATAAGCTTAATTTGTATATGTGGGTACTCATGCCCATGCACTCATTATGCATTTCTTTGCAGTCGAGCCATGAGGCTGTGGTATAATAACGGAGAGCTGTGAATCATTAGTGACAGTGCAGTAAGGTTAAGGATGCTGTCTATCAAAGCAGGCACAGAATAGTTAAGGTGCTTGCATGTGGGTGCCTGTATGTGGGTGGTTGCCAAGTTGCGTATGTGCATCTGCGTATGATTCAAGATTTAAATAGATAATTCACCTTGGTGTTGTGGAGGCAGTTAACGGTGATTCTCAACAGCTCTAACAATAATGTTTTACTGTTTAAAATTCCCACTGGAAAATGTTCTTTTTACACATACCCTCCACAGGGAGGTCTGAGTGCACTGGTGCAGGGTCATCTTCCGGTCAGCGCCACCAGATCTAATAAGGATTCAGGTGAAGGACATTTCATGAGGGCGGATAATTGCTGTATTGGGGGCTCGTACTTGGTTCCTCCACTTGAAGAGTCTTGCTTGTCATACCATGATGTGCTATATTTTTAAACTGAGAAAATAAAATGTAATCGCTTGTTGTTTAGACTTCCTTAGGCTCCCTTTGACTTCATTTGTTTTAAATGAGGATTTTTGGAGTTTGTTTTACCCTAGGCATGGCAATCACACCTCTCAGTGAGTCATATCCGTCTAACAAAACTCCACTAAAACTACTGAGCAAAAGTGTTTTGTTCCGGGTAAACAGCAGTATTTCTTATAATGAAACAAACATTTGGTCAGCAGTAGCAGCAGTTATTAAGCACTGATGTGTCATGTACTGTATTTTCTACCATCATATTACATCACATTTCTAGTGTAACAACATGACCATTCTTTAATCACTTTCATTAACTGTTTAATCTTGTGCATGAATCATGATTAAAGGCCAAATAAAGGGCGCCTGAAGCCGAATTCAAATTCTATCACAGCTGTTTAAATAAAGTTAGAAAAAAACTCAAGTAGCACGATAGTGGAAGTTTGAAAATCTAACTTCAAAGTAAAAGCACAAACTAACATTTGCAGTGAATTGGAGCGGGAAGTCGATGATATATTGACAACATTGAAACTTGATTATTTTATAGTATTAAAATCATTATATAAAAGGCTGCTGGGCATGGTGTTACAGGTCTAATGAGTTATTCTTACATGTGTTCCGTTATTTGTTACTCTTCACATTATATTTGTGGATGAGATCAAGGAAATTGTGACCTGTATAAATGTATGTGTTTGCCATGTGTAAAAACATCATATGGGAATGAAACAGTCAGGAAGAGTCTTCTCTAAGATCTGTGAAATTCCTTGGCCAAAGTATAATTAACTACAACAAGTACAAATCTGATTAATCTACGGTGTGTTTAATTCAGGTGACAATTTAAATGGTTCAATTTAATTTAATCTGACTAATCAATTAATTTAGTCATTTAGTAAATAAATGTCAAAAGTGGCTATATGTCCATCACAGATTATAACAATCTGAAGTGATGTTTTCCAAGTGCTTATGCTGAGAACAAACAGTAAAGAAAAGTGAATGTATTTGATATATGTCAGTAGTAATAATATTTCATATGCTCATTATCATAATCAGCATCTTTAGTATAATGTGGCTGACACAAGTACAATGACCCTGAAAACTGGATTAAATCATTTCAGCACTATTAACTTAAATTTATCATAGCAGTCAAAAATGTTGTTATTGTCTGTCAGTACACGTCATTAATCGTGCTTGGAAGCGTTATCTGTGATATTACATTGATATAGGGACTTAAAGCCTGAAAGGTTTAGTTATATTGCGACTCTATCATTCGTTACCTGTAATTGTTTTACGTCCAGCAGGGAGACTTTTATTTTGGGAATTTTGTCCGGAAGTTGAACAGGCTATTGTGGCAGGCTTGAGGCTGATCTTTGCTGCTCGCGACACAACCGCACACAGCTGCTTTCAGTCAGTGCTCGAGACGCAACCGCCAATAGAGGAGCTCTCGCTTCTTGCTCCAGGGATTTTACCTCAGATGGACTTGATATAAGCCAAGAACACGCAGTTTATCTCAGACCATGAACACTTAGGTGTAAGTTGTTAGTGTAGTTTTGCGGGAGATAAACTGCCCTAATGGTCTTAAGTGTTTTTACCAGCACCGGTTTTAATGTGTTTTATGTGTTTACGCTCAACAGTGAGGTAGACTTATTCGGACAAATTTTGCAGGAGTGTCGGCGTGTGATTTATCCCGTGGATGCGGCTGTCGGGGTCGGTGTCTGAGCCCTGCAGGAGCAGCCTGTCATAGGGCATCATGGTTTCTCTGGTTCTTCACAAGTGGATGAGGAATATTTCTCCGGAGATGCTGCTGTTGGTGCAGATATTGTGGTTTTTACCAGTGACTGGAGCGGCTCCTTCCCTGACTACCGAGCAGCTGGACATGGGGGTGGTAAGTTTTCTACCTTTTCTACCTACTTATGAAAAAGGGTCTTGGAAGTTTTTCTACCTGATAGCACCACTGAATGTAGGGCTGGTGTGTCTTTTTCTGTCTCACCCTAGCATACTGTTGGGCAGTGGGGTGGCAGGTTTTCTCTCCTGTCCTACTTGGGCTACTCTTGAACATCCAGGAAAGAGCAAGTGCAGTCTTCTCAAAATACTTGCTCTGAATGTTAACACCACTCTGCAGTCCAGTGCACGAGGCAGAGTCCCACAGCACAATGCATGACGACAAATGAAAATTTGGATAGGAGCTTATTATTGTCAAAAAATAACCTCATTCAAAAAAAATAAATAAATAATAAAATAAAATAAAATAAAGTGGGCTGTAATAAATGGATGCATGTGAGAGGATTTCCATTGGCATCATATCGACCTCCTCCAAAGTGTGCTGACATAGTACATATCCTGTGCTAATAAGGCGACTGGAGCTCACTGGGATATACTAAATCCATGAGGATTTATAGGATATTTTGTCAGTCAGGACTCTGAAAGACCAAGTTCAGACAATTGATGTCTTTTAAATAGAGGATCATGTTTGTGGTTGAGCAGCAAATTCAACTAAACAAATTCATTATACCAGGGAACTTCACCATCTAAAAGACATAAATGAATCAATTTGAACTGTGACTGCTTATGAAAAAAAGCCCTTACAGATGATGTAGCAGATCACCCCCAAAACATCTCATTAAGAGTGAATTTTATATAATGCATTATATTAATAAGTTTATGTTTTGCATGAGTAATGAAGCAAGCCTTTTGAGACCCGGGCAGACTTTAAAGCGGTCAGTGGCGATACATCATCATCATCACACACCCACAGCATATATGTAATGCAGTCAAGACTGAGGTTAAAGGAGCATGGCACAAAAACCAAGAGCTGTAAATGAACTGACATAAGCTTATACTGCATGTGCGTATATATATTTTCCATTTATCCAGATAGGTGAATACATTTTGAATGTTGTGTGTAGATATGAGAAAAATTTGTTGGCTTGCAAAAGCTCATCATCATCTTTAGAATTTCAACCCCATTAAAGCTGCATTTTGTCCAGATTCACTCCTCAAGGCAACATCCGTTTTTTGTTTTGCTGCTCATCCCAACTTCTGTCTCTCTGTCTTTGTCTTCTTGCAGCGCTCAAACTCTTCTTTCTCAAACCTGCGCTTGGGGATTAAGTTTTTCTTGAAGACTAGAACAAGGAATAAAATGGATCAGTTTCCATTTCTTTATTTATTCTTTGCTTCAGGTTTTTCTTTCACCTTGAACTGCTGCGTCTGTCTTTTTTCTTTTGTCTCGCTATTTTCTGACACATCTTACACACCAAACACTTTGATTGTGAGCTTGTATGGGCCATCATTTTTAATCTAACTAAGACTGCGTGTGGGCGAGACAAAAACAGTTTGAACTTAAATACAAATTATGTAGGCTACCTAAATTTGTACAGTAGTTGCATAACCTAAGAAGTCATCCTTAAAACAAAACAGCACACACAATAGCCCCACCAAGCCTAGATTATTTATGTTTTTTATCAGGGTAAAATACCCAGACTCGATGCTGAGTTGGATGCCAACAACCCTGACACCAGGACATGGTCTGTTGCATCTTAGCTCTAAATCAATTTTTTCTGGTTTTACAAAAGGTCAGTTGGGCTGCATCTGACAGGGTTTTCATCAGGACCTATACACACTTCATCCTCACTGTGTAGCTTCGGCCTCAAACAACCAAAGCCTTAAAACAGGCCAGTACATTAACAGAGCTCTCCCATCCTTGGTCTTTAATTTCTTGTCTTATTTTATTCTCTGGTTGTAATATAAAACTATGCTGCTACCTCTGAGTACTAACCATATGTCTCCCAGCTTCATCCGATCATTTTGGAAGAAGAAAAAAAAAAAAAAAGCAACTCAGTTCATCATTTTCAACCTATGGGAATACTTGCTGTTTTTTGTGTATCTGTCGGGTTGCTTCTCTTTTCACTTTGCATTTCAAATAGACAGGATTCAGCACAGTAGAAAATCAAATCAGTAAGGTTGAGGATTATCATTTAGTCTTTCAGTGAACATTAAGTGAAAGTTCAAAAAGAAATAAAATTACAGTTTATCTGTCTGTTGTCGGTCAGACCTCTTAAAGACAGTTATGCCATGTCAGTGTCTGCTGGACCCTGATCAGCCATGAATTATTACTGGGCATTGTTATCTCTCTTCTTTAAATGTAGACTTCACAGTCGTGAAAGTACATGAATGCATTTCAGCTGACACATCATCCAGTAAAAATAATATATTTTACTGTTGTGGATAGTTTCGTACAGTAGCTCTAGCACAAACTTTTTATTTTCTTTCCTGGAGATTTAGGTGAACTCTGACACCACAAACACAGCAGTATCACCCGATGAAAAGCTGTTATAAGAGGAGCAATTTTCTTCCATTTACCATGACAGAGAAAATAATACTCAAGGTGGAAGCTTTCCTGTATTTTGAGATAGAGCTGTATGATACACACAGTCCAAAGTGGTCCTGCAGCCTCAGTGCAGCCTGTAGTCTGAGAGCCATTACTCTCGTTGTGATGCCTTGCCCCATTTTGTGTGGCCGGTAAATGCAAAGCAACACTGCCAGCCCAGTGATGAATACACATCTGAAAATGTGCACATTAGTTCAATGGTCTTGAGCTAAATATATCTGTTGGTGCGGGTCACACAGTTTGTACAGTAGAAGTCATGGTTTCCAGTTTTTTTTTTTCTTAGTAAACCCTGTAAAACAATAATTTCACACTGGCTGGTAAAGTTATGAGCATTACTTTTACTTTTTAATGTAAAGCTATCTATATAATGTTAATATAATGTTGGATCTGACAATCTTTGTACCAGAGCAAAGACAAATATTGGATCTTTAGTAGATCTAAAGTATGATTAATTCTAATAATTATTTCCAGTTTGATATCTGTATATCCAAACCAAAATCTCTACTTTCCATATCAAACACTTAAAATCTGTAGGCTTGCATAGTGGCTGAAATGTATTTGTAGTTTCCTTCTTGTACAAGAAGAGCAGCTTTCGTGACGAGTTTTCACTGTGGGGGGAAAAAAAACGTTGAATAAAAACCTCCGTACTTCAAAACTTCAAAAAACATTATCATAGTATGTTCCGCTTCTCTGCTATCCCCCTGGTATGTTCAGACTGTTCCTCACATCAGCATTTCACCAAAATCCGGCTTTATACACTTTTTTTTCAAATTTTCTGGGAGGATGCAACATGGACCATTGACCATCGATGAGGTTGTCTCGATGGAAGAATTCCCTTGCACCCCAGTGTATCTCTGTGTGTCCATACTTTGAAAAATGGAGCATCTGAAAAGTAACTTGCTGTGAAGGCAAAATGTTGGAACTTCCTGTGCCTAGAAACCACAAAGACATGAAAGTGCCTTTCAAGTTTATCATTTTGTACCAGTCACCCAGCTTGACCAGTTCTTACAAGGAAGCATGTGGAATGATCTTTGTACTGTGCCCGCAGGTCCAGGACAGGTCTCACTGTTCCATTTTTTTTTTTTTTTTGGTGCCAAGAAATACAGACTCTTTCGTCTTTCCTCAAGAGAAGGCAGAGAAAAGAGTCTTCTTTGTAGAAGCTCATGAAGCTTCAGGGAATGAGTGTCCTCCTGCTCCTCCTGCCTGCTCTTCAGAGACTGCATGTGACTCCGTCACTTTGGAGATCAAGGGGGAGGGGGGCAGATAGCAAAAGTTCAGTTCATATTCCTATCTATTCCACTAAAATATTTGATCATAATATATGCTAAAAAGTCCTGTTAGAAGGGAAAGCATGAACAAAGTAGGGCTCACTGAAGTATCTCTTTGGAAGAGGATGTACCTAATAAAGGAGGAAGATTAAATTTAGACACCCGCTGTTCTCAATTAATTGAGAGACTAAAAAGTTTTCTTTCTTTATTCATTGTAACAACAGAGATTCCTGTGTTTGATCACTGATAGCAAAGACACTTTATCTAGGCAGTGAAATCTAACTACAGCTCCTAGTTCATCATGAAAGACAGAAAGAGAGTATCAGTGCAGACAGCTCCGATGATGATTAGTTGGCCAATGACTGATTTCAAGTCCCTGGGGAGCCAGAGGACACACTCAGAGCATCATTCTGTGCCACTGGAAAGGCTGTAAGGTACAGATAGGATCAGATGATTGTTCTCAGTGGATATATGTATGTGTGTGTGCGTTTGCCAGCGTGTGTCTGATCATTACTGCTATCCACTCAGAACTTGAAACACAATAAGAAAAAAAAAAAACGAGAAAAAAAACACACACATCCACAAAACAATCTTCTGATCTCTATCATTGCTCCCACCGAGAACCATTACACTTCATAGCTGCAACTCTCCATCACTTGGCATTTAGTTGAGATTGTGAATCTTATAGATGGCATGCGTCTGCATAACAACCACAATTGAACTGAACCACACACTCAAGCAGAGATCAGAAGTATTCATTTTATAGCTTTGCTGCTCTCTGGCTTGATATACCACTGCATTGTGCAATTTCAGCACTTGAGGAACTGAGTCATAACGACTAAAATCTAATACGCCCTGTGTTTTCTGCTCATCATATTCTGTTTCTTGTGAGGAGAATTTTCTCCACTGAAACAGAACTGCCGAGTTTCCCAGAGGAGCTGCTCACCTGAACAATCAGGGCTTCCCTTTTGATAAGCGAGAGGGAGCTGACCAGATTAGCATCTGATAAATTACCTAAATTACTGTATACTCAGCCACCTGTGGAGCTTTATTCATTAAAGAAACACAACCATCACACATTTGAGTGATGATCCTAAAACATTAAGACTGTGCGAGTGTGTGCGCCGACTACACCCCACTAACCCGTTTCTAACTTTCATTTTGCTGTTTAATTTCTCCAATGTGAGCACCATCTGGCATCAATTTCACTGGAGCGGTAGTCACTACCCT